TGCCAATCCAGTAATTTATTTTAGTGTTAATGGTTACTAACATTACAGCAAATTATTTACATTTATAATTGTTAATTTGATCTTGACATCTTAAGCAGAATGTTTTGTATTGTTCTCTTTCAAGGTGGTAGCCTGTGTGGGGGAAAAAAGGTCTAATTTCTTTGCTGTCATTGAGTTGACAAAACACTGAAAAACTGACAATCCTTAACTGCGGATTTATATTTCAGTGAAGACATAATGTCAGTTCAAAAATGTACCTTCTGTCACTGCAGTGAAATTAGACATTTTGCTTTGAAAGGTTACTGGTGGATACTGGCAACCATCTGGGAAGGGAACAATACAATTTGTTAAACAGCTTCCATTAAAGAAATGTGTATTTGATACTACAACATAATACCAACTTGTTATACACTCAACAAAAGGGAAATTGAGTGGTTGTTACATTTACAAAAGTCTAACTTGTCATTTGAACAAAATAACGTCATGTTTCTAGGGTGAACGCAATTAAATCATGTTGGATCTGCATCAAATTCAGCAACTTTATTTGTTATTGTTCAGATGACATGATACAATCTAGGAAGAGTGGTTAGTTGCCTGCCCTCACAACATTCACAAGATCATACGAGATTTCAAACCACAAGAAAATCACTGGAGTTATAAGAGGCAGACAACCATACAAACACCATGTGTATGGTGTTTCTATTTATTGTGGTTTAATCTGTCAAGGATGAAAACATACAGACATCAAGCACAGCTTTCCTACTTTTGTTAAGTCTGGATGGACAGCTCAATGGCATGGTGGTTAGCGCTGTTTGGAGCAAGAAGGTCCTGGGTTCAAATTATGAAAAATTATGAAGGATCAAATATTCCAAGGGCTAAAATTACTTCATCCAAACATGTTTCATTCACATTGTAGCAACACATAGTGCGCAGGTTGAATGAATATGGATGACTTGTGTTGATTTAACGCAATTTTTTAAGTTGCTGCCGAAGCAAAACATCTGTGTGCAACCAATGTCCATTACTGAATTGAGTAAATAATAATAATAATAATAATAATGGATAGCATTTATGTAGCGCTTTTCGGGGCCCTCAAAGCGCTTTACAATTGCACTATTCATTCACTCTCACACACTGATGGAGGCAGCTACAGTTGTAGCCACAGCTGCCCTGGGGCAGACTGACAGAAGCGAGGCTGCCATATCGCACCATCAGCCCCTCTGGCCAACACCAGTAGGCGGTAGGTGAAGTGTCTACACCAGACGGCTGACCAATGCAGCAAACTGGGGGCTGCAGCCCAGTCCCGTGAGGCTGGAGGAAGAAGTGACACTGGCAGAGGACCATTTGGTGCCGTGGCTGGCATCTCCATGGGGACAACTGGCGGTGGAGAGCCAGCCGGTCCCCCCGCCGAGGACATGACTCTAAGGTGTAGCCCCGGTATGGTCCACTACTGTGGAACAGCTTCCTGTCTAATCTGTTTCCTTCCGCTCTCGCCACAGGTCCCGGTGACTACAGACGCTGCACGTCATTCACCGGGAGCTGCAGAAGCCCCAGGGCAGGAGCGTTGGGGTTGTGGGTGACCAGGACACATCGTCCAGGAGACATTTTTCACAATGACATATTTTTCGGTCAGTTTTGATTCGTTTTTTTCTTCTCTTTATGATCTCACACAGAAAACTAAAATAGATAAATGTCTCTGAACATGAAGTTTTTGAATCCAAAACTTATATGACAGGAATTTTTACCACCACTCCACGCAATTCCTTCAGGTACAGTGTAGCTGCTACCTCAAGCCTTGTGGCTTATTACAGTAGCTTCCCCTGTTTTTATGAGCCATCTCCATTCAACCTTTTTAGACAATCTCTACAACCTTTTAGCTGTACCAGAGGCAAGCTACAGACCGACTTCAACAGTAGCAACAATCCTAACAATTTCTCCAGAAACTGCGGTCTAGTTATACTTGTTTCTTAAAAAAACAACAACATGTTCATGACTGTCCTGCTTTCCATTTTCTTTTACTACATGTTCTACATGTACTGCATGCAAAAATCTAACTTCTTTATACTGTATTTTGCTTCGAGAAGGCCAGACTTAACTGTCATTTTCTAAAGTAGTCTTGAGCTAAACTTCTCCAAGCTTTTTGAAGATCTTTCAAAGATTGTATTTGGACATTGCTTTATCACTCACTGTCAGTCCAGCCCTCATATCTGACCATGTTTTTTCTTTTTCTTTCTTGGTAAGTCACGTAACGCTGACCTTATGGTACTAGCAGCCTGTCATAAAAGCACATAATGTATTGCTATTGCATTTATAGCATAAGTTTTCTGTCTGAGCTTTTCTTAATATTACGCTAAACATCTCTCAGCTGTCTTCTCTGGGCTTCTCTGACGGCTGCACCCATGAACCAAACCCGGGGTCATGGCAGGTGATGGATGAGGAAATTATGTGCAGTCATCTCAAAGATGTTCATCATTGTAAACTAAAGCAAGTTTTTAAACTGCTGATATTTATTTAGATCTGTTTTCTACACTAAGCTCAATAAAATCATCAGCAGATCCCATCCCTACAGCACTGCTCAAAGAAGTCTTACCATTAATTAACATCATACTAATAATTAATTAATAAGGAACTTTTGAACATGATCAATCTATCTCTGTTAACAGGATATATACTACAGGGTTTCAGGGTAGTTATAATTAAGCCATTAGTTAAAAAGCCTTTACTTGATCCAGCTTTCTTAGCTAATTAGAGGCTGACTTCCAACTTTCCTCTCATTTCAAAAATTCTTGAAAGAGCAGTTTTAAAACAGCTGGGTGATCATCTGCAGAAAAAAATCTTTATCTCAAATATGTCGAGCACTGCATACCAAAAAGTTATAATTCCAGCATATCTGTTGTACTTACATGTTGGACGGCTGTTGGTACCTTACAGAGATTAGATATGACCATTATCATGCTAGCATAGTTAGAATAGGAAAAAAACACGTTTCTGTAAAGATTTTACAGTGTTAAAGTCATTGCAGTTAGTTACATTTCAGGCACACATCTAAGTGTTACATGGTTATAAGCTGCAGGACTCGTGCTAATGCAAACAAAATGACAAAATGTGCTTTCTTTCTAACATTCAGACAGATTCATACTCCAATGGATGCATCGTGGAGCAACTTGGAGTTAGTACCTTGTCTGGCATGCAGACTGGAGCAGGCATGGATCAAACCACTAACATTCAGATTAGTAGATGACCTGCCCTAAACCTGATTTGGTTTTGTCCAGCACATGTCCTAACATGTGCTGGACAAAACCAAATCATGAAATAAGGAGGGGGGAGGTGAGGCTGGCTGAATTTTATTCTTTGTTGACCAAACTTAGGAAATTAATTCGTTCCAGAGGGTCTTTCATAAGTCAAAAATTTCGTAAGTCGAAGCACCGTTTTCCATCGCTTTAAAACTAAAACTTACATTTACGTTAATTAATGTACGTACGTACACTGTGCAATGATATTTTTTTAACATTTTTTTAAACTCGCTCATATTTATGCCGGCCCCATTATGAATGAACGATAGGCTAATTGCAAACGAAAAGCACACGGAATAGCGCACTGCAACAACAATACGTCTTTCACGTGGAACAGCGAAACGCATTTCGCAAACGAGCATTTGTCGTACCACAGGCAAAAATATTGCCGTTAAGTGCCTTCGTAACTTGAATGTTTTTCGACTGCTTACCTTCCCCCAAAGAAACATAACCAAACAACAATCACTTACCTCCCTGACTAACTAAACAGAAAACTGTGCCCAACTGAAAAGGCAAGCCACCCCTACTTCCTCCTGGATCCACAAAGCAACACAGGGCACTAGTGATGGGTCAGTCGCGAAAGAAATGCGAAATGGCTCTTTGACGTGAACGACGCGAGCCGGCTCCTTAATCGCGTGCTGTGTTTTTTTTTTTCTTTCTCTCACCCTCTCTCTCTCTTTCTCTCGCGCTTTTTCCCGCTTCACTCCGCACGCGAGCCTCGTGCTTTGCGCTGAGCAGAGGGGGGAGGGGCGGTAGTTACACTCTCAGTAGCATAGGAACAGAGCGGGAGGGAGAGAGAGAGCCAGGGACAACAACGTCACATTAGAAAGGTATAGTAATCATCCACAACTATATTCAGTTGCAGATGATAAAGGATTCAGAAAGTTTGTTCATGCAGGTCCATATGACAGAGAATGTGCATCTTCTTTTTGTTTTCATATTATAATTTATATTTAATTGTGTTGTGGTTTGCAGTGTTTTGTGTTGTTTCACTTTAAATTTGTAAAAGGAAAAACCTGAAAATTTAAATAGTTAAAAGTTGAAATGTGAATAATTGATTTTTGTATTATATGATTTATTTATTACATTTTATGTGGAGTGAATAAATAAAAGTATATTTACGGTGGCCCCTAGAGACAAAGCACACACAAACTTCAAATCACGTACGAACCCTGAAGCACGTACAAACTCCAAAACACGTAAAAACTCAGAAGCACATAAAAACTCAAAACACATACAAAAGACAACAGACAACATCCTGGAGCACCCAGGATGCTAGGGGACAGAGTGGAGCTTTTGTTACCTAGTGGCTACACAAGCCAACAAGTACCAACGACCGGATTTGGTGTGTGGTAGTAACAGGTAAATGAACTTTTTTTTAAAATTATTTGACTATATATGAATGCTTGTGTATAAATACAAAAAACAATACACATATGCTTTCAATTGTGTAATTTAAGTGATCTAGGTAGCTCTGTTTTGGAAGTTCAGTTCATGCTAGAAATGTGTTTTGGAGTTTGTACGTGTTTTGTCTCTAGGGGCCACGACATATATTTATATATAAACATATATAAATAAAACCACTTTTTTTTACATTAGTAATTCCTTTTGTGCATAATTTTATATTATTGTTAATAATAAATTAATTAAAGCAACAAAACAACCCGAAGAGCCAGTTCGGAGCCGAAAGAGCCAGAAATCCCATCACTACAGGGCATGTCCCAGCCCCAGCCGGTTGGGGTAAAATCGAGGATGGATGATTGCCGTCCTCAACCGCGCCTCCAGAGCAGCATCCAATCCTGGCACACGATCTTTGGGATCCACCACTCCTGGAGGCGCACCTGCACACTCGCATTTACATATCAGAACCCCAGCCCACGACAGCAGCCGCAACATAATAAATGAAGCAGATTTAATAAGGCCTTCGCACTTTTAGTGCTCTGACCTAATAAACATACATAGACTAATTTGGGTTCAAGTGTTAGATTATTGCTAGTGATGAGCACTTATGGTAGGATAGGAACATATTCTCCTTTTTTTCAGAAACCAGATTTATGTAAACAAAGTAAAGATTCCTGAATAATTGGGTCTAATAATCAAGAGTACAGTTACTGAACAAAATAATTGTGATGATGATTTCTGCCATATTTACAACCTCTCTCACTAGAATTGCTGCCTTGTTTGTCCAGTTTCTTCAAATCAAGTGAAACATTTGTTTGGACACAAACGATCCTGCAGGAGGAGAAATGTTTAGGGCACAAACCACAATATGAGCTCACTGAGGTGCCAAGATGCATGTGAAGATAGGCTCGAAGGGAATATTGTCTCTTCAAGTTTGAATGTAAGTCAGCTTTTTATTTTAAAAATCTCCTATCTAGTGAAAAAACAGGGAAGGGTAGAGATGAATCCATGGAGCAAACCGCTGTGATGCAGCTTTCTTTGAGTCTGTTCTTTCCCTTAAACAAATAATAAATAATTAATTGTACAAAAATAGGCAAGTCAGGTTCCTCAAATACTTGCACCCTAATCTTTGTTCATAAATTACTGTAGCTGAAAAACAAGACACTATCAAATTGTTTTTTTGTCATTAATAGATACATGATGGCAATTAAATTAACTAACTGAAAAGAGAAATAAAATAAAAGTAAATTTAAAAATTACATAAATCCACATTCCCAGGATACACATATATGCTACAAATATATGCTTTAAAACACACACAAATGATAAATATTACTGAACAGAGAGAACCAAATTGTTTGTTGCAGGGATGAATAAATGATTCTAAAATTGTTCTGTATCTGTCACCAAGCTCACCTTTGAGATTTCACCCTGTCAACATGTTGGGGATCAGTCCTGCTGTCAACCAGCAAATGCATTCATTGCACTCACGGTGTCAGTTAGGCAGAAGCCGTCCAATCAGCACACAGACAGCAAAATGTATTCATATAGACACAGAGACACTTCAGCTCCATTCTTCAATATTAAATCAGTGGCCTTTGTGTCAAAAACCAGTGATGAGGGAGAACTGGTCCATAGCTTATTTTCCAGGACTTTGATGCGATCTTAAGTGATGGCTGCTTTCCTGTTTTGCATTTACTACAGACACTGGCCTGGTTTAATCTATTATTAAATGTTGCTCTCTTATTATATTTATTCCAGACAAATTATTATTGTTGCTTCCCTAAACACAAAGTTGATAACTACCTGTGCACCACAACAAAGAGTGAATCCATAACAGCCAAACAGCAAAATAAGAACTCTGTAAATAATTAGTTAGTGGACTTATGGTTGCAGCAGGTTTAGAAGGGCTTTATTTATATAAGAAAACAAATATCCCCCACATGGGGGTTTAAGTTAAATGTTCCACAGAATCATTGAAGAGGGTCAAAGCAGAGGGTAGCAATGAGTAACGAATACAATATGTTTACATTTCCAACAATTTCAGCTATTGCCCACCGATTCAGCGCTTTATTTGAGGCCATGCTGCTTGCATGTAAAAAACGATTTTCATCAGCACACTGTCAGACAAATAAGAAAAGAAGAAGCAGCAGCGGGGGCTGTGGGTATTTTTCTGTGAGCCACATCGACTTCCAAAAGAAACCCAACAAAGTCACCAATAACAACGCTTTGGAGGTAAGAGTGTGCTGCTAACTGTGTGGATTCTCCTTTCAGTCATACTTTGAAACACCGTGTATGTCAAGCAAAGTTGAGTTAGGAGACAGGTGACCCATATACAAACAGGCAGGCTTGTGCTTAATTCAGAGCCATTGATTTCCAATTTTCAATTAATAATTGTACTTAGTGGCAGCCTATTTTAGACTGGATAGGATGTGGGTCAGTGGAGGACAGGCCAGATGGATGATGCAATTTAATGCTCACAGGCCTGGAATAAAGTCTCACTTTAATGTGACACTAACTGACTTAATAATTGTTAGCATCTGCATTTGTTCGTGTGACTCACTGAGTTACAGAATAGTCTTTGAGTGAGTCCAGTTAATAAACCAGGATTGTGTTAATCAAAGCTAGGAAGTCTTTTCCATTCCTCGGGTAAATCTTCCTACATTAGTAGCTGACTTCTCTTTGATGCACTTTTTGCATCGTAGTTCAAGACTAAATAATTGCTGTCATTAGTGGCTGTCAACAACTGTGATGTGGAATGATGCACGTGTTCATGCATCATTCAGTCTGACATAGTCTAGCTTGCTTTGTGTAGTAATTGCATTTTAATGACCTCCTTTTATGCAAACTTTTGGCATAAATCTGAGCTCATGCCACGGTCCTGGGTCTGTGACCCAGCGTTTTGTGTTTTGAATTATCGTTAATAGTCTTTGATTTCTTTATTATTTATAGTTTCTAGTCTCTGGTTTCTGTCTCTGTGCTTCCCCTGCGTTCCTTGTGTTATGTTTTCATGTCTGTGCTTCTCATTGTTTCAGTGTCAGTCCGCGTCTATGTGCCTGTCTCGTGTTTCCTGTTTTACTTTGATAGTCTCGTGTGTTACGTTGGTGTTTTCAGTTTTGCTTCCCTCCGGTCTTGGTGTGTGATTTCTCCCAGCTGTGCTCTCCTCCCGCGTCTCATTCCCTCGTTATCCCTCTGTGTATTTAAGCCCTTTGTCTTCCTCTGTTTGTTGCTGGATCGTCTGTGTATCACCTACTGCATCTCCCATGTCTCAGATCCTTTCTTTATTCTTGTTTTTTAGGTTTCTCCTAGTTTAGGTTTTGCTAAACACCTGCTGTTGTCACCTTTTGCTTTTTTTGTAATCTGCTCCGCCGTAATAAAGCCTCACTCTCAGTTCAAGTCCGTCATCAGTGTCTGCATTTGGGTCCAATCTCTCTCCGCTCCTCGCTGTCTGCCACAGCAGAGGTGACAGCTCAGGTCTAATGGCTTTTGGCAGGTGGCTATCCTTCCACTGCTCCACTGACATATATGAATAGTAGAGATGTCCAGTTCTGACAGCCATTTGGTTGGGTCAAAGTTCAGGCCATTAATAAAGTACAGCATGTGAATCTGGATGCAGGCCTAATCTCAGCCTGCTATCTAGGCTGGGCTCCTAGAAATGATTGCAACTGAAATGGAAGGTAACCCAGAAGTTAGAGCTGCTGTGATTGGTTTATATATGATCCTGGAAGCTTTTTCAAGTTAAAACTAAATTTTAGATTTGAATTACAATACCCAAAGCCACTGGATCAGAGTGTGTTTAGGATCAGCAGTGTAATGTAACTTGGCCCATCTCCTCAGGAACTTTGTAAATGAGTAATTTAACATATTTGTATTAAATAAGTATTTCTGTGTTATGCTACTTTCTGCTTGTACTTGATTGTACGCCATTTATTTTAAGGTGTCAATAAAAATCATCCAGTATATTCCTTTGCACTACACAACACTTTCCAGCAACATAAGTGATTATATTAAGTGCTGAAACATTAAAGAGATATGTACATATTACTTACCGTATTTCCTGGACTACAAAGCGCACCTGAATATTAGCCGCACAAGCTAAAATCAGGGGAAAATCCTGTTTTGTACATACATTAGCCGCACCTGACTAAAAGCCGCAGGTGTTTCAATGTTGACT